AACCCTAAACGGCTAGACCAAGCCCACGACCCTAAACCCTAAAACCAAAACGCCCAGACCCTAAACCCTAAACCCTAAACCCTAAACCCTAAACCCTAAACCCTAAACCCTAAACCCTAAACCCAAACTCTGAACCCCCAAACCCTTCAGGCCAGAACCCGAAATCGTCAACCCGGAACCAGGCCTCGTAAACGGGCACCACGGCACAAAGTGCTACACCCGGCACCTCACCGGGTGTGGGGTTTAGGGTTTAGGGTTTAGGGTTTAGGGTTTAGGGTTTAGGGTTTAGGGTTTAGGGTTTAGGGTTTAGGGTTTAGGGTCACCAGCAGCTAAGCTCTAAAGAGATTTATCAAGCTGGGAGTTGAAGTGTTGGTGCTACAAGGACCCTAAACTTAAGGTTTAAGGTTTGGCAGTCTGGGCGCTGAGGGGTTTGGAACACATGGCTTTAGGGGTTTAGGGTTTAAGATGTAAGATTTGGGGGCCTAGAGGTTTAGATATGTAGGGTTTAGGGTTTAGGGTTTAGGGTTTGGGGTTTAGGGTTTAGGGTTTAGGGTTTAGGGTTTAGGGTTTGAGGTTTTGGGCCCTAGAGCAAGGCTTTGCACCAGTTTTGGACTGTGCGGGAGCAAGTCTTGCAGCTCCAGGGGGATGCGTGACTGTGCCCCAAACCCTCGTCTCTGTACCAACGCTGGAACAACTCCCCCTAAACCCTAAACCCCTAAACCCTAAACCCTAAACCCCTAAACCCCTAAACCCCTAAACCCCTAAACCCCTAAACCCTAAACCCTAAACCAATCGCCGGCCTGGTCGCAGCCTTTACGGACCTTCGCCTTGCCAAACGCGCCGTGTGCGCAATCATTCTCTTGAGTTGCCTGCCTGCTCCCGGGTTTAGGGTTTAGGGTTTAGGGTTTAGGGTTCTCCCGAGTCGCCCAGCTCCTCTGATTCACTGATGCATGTCTTGTGAAGTTGAGTCTTAAAGTTCAACCTTCAAGCTAAAGCCTGAAACTGCCTATGAGGCTTTTTGAAGCCTCTTGACAAGTCCCTAGCTGGGCTCACTAGTTTTTCGCTCAGGCGCACTACTCGTTGCTACACTCACTTCATTCTCGAGAGAGGTGGGGGCGACCCTAAACCCTAAACCCT